CGCGACCGTTCAGGCTTCCCCGGCCTATCCCCGCACGCCCGCGCTTCCGCCCCATCCCCTCCTAGTCCCGCCGGCGCTCGTGCGCCTCCGTCGTCCGAGGAACAGTGCCCGAGCGCTCGCTGCCGCGCCGCGCCCGCAAGGTGTTTGACAAAACGCCTACAAGGTATGTATTGCTCAAACTTCATGAATTTGATGCATGTTTTGAATCGTAGTTTTTATAGTATAATATTGAACATTGTAGAGTTCGTCGTATGATTCTTCCGAAGAAGAATTTGATATGGAAGAGGAGGAGGATCTTGCAATGATCCTAGCTATGCATATAAAAAAACGAAGCACGGTGGTTCGGTTATGGGTCGGCAGAAAATTTGGAGGGATAGGATCGATGCCCACAACAGATTGATCAGGCATTATTTTGCGGAGAATCCCATATACCCCGAGTCGTATTTTCGTCGCCGGTTTAGGATGAGCACCGAGTTGTTCAGGCGCATTGCAGAGAAACTAGCGAGCCATGACCGTTTTTTTCAGCAAAGAAGGAATGCCACCGGAGAGCTCGGACATAGCACCTTTCAGAAGGTGACAGCCTCTTTGCGTATGTTGGCATACGGTATACCGACTGATCTTGTTAATAATCACTTGGCTATGGGTGAGAGCCAAGCCATCATGTATGTCAAGCACTTTGCAGTGGGAATTGTGCAAGTGTTTGGCGAGGAGTATTTGAGATCTCCCAATGCTGAAGACGTCGCAAGGCTATTGGCGATGAACAAAGCTCGCGGTTTTCCTGGCATGCTTGGCTCAATAGATTGCATGCATTGGAGTTAGAAGAATTGTCCAAAGGCATGGCATGGGCAATTCCACGGCCAAAAAAAGGATTCCACTATAATCCTTAAAGCGGTGGCCGATCAGGAGACTTGGATTTGGCATGCATTCTTTGGAATGCCTGGATCTTTGAATGACATCAATGTTGTCAACCGGTCGCCACTGATGAATAAGATTGCAAACGGTGAGTTGCCACCGGTGCAGTTTGTAGCAAATGGCCGTACGTACAACTATGGCTATTATCTAGCGGATGGCATCTATCCAAAGTGGCAAACCTTCGTGAAGCCGTTGAAAAAGCCGGAAGGTAAGGAAAATCTTGAATTCCACAATGCTCATGCGGCGGCTAGAAAAGATGTGGAGAGAGCATTTGGGATTTTGCAAGCCCAATTTGCTATTGTGAGAGGACCGGCTAGATTTTGGGATCAAAAAATGCTTTGTACATCATGCACGCTTGTGTGATCATGCACAATATGATCATCGAGAATGAGTATGGCCAAGATTTAGACTATTCACAGTATGAGCTCTTGGGATATCCCGTGCGAGTGCGACGGAGGGCTGAAAGGGTAGCCCGTTTTATTGCCTCCTATCATGCCATTCGGCGTCCCGCAACGCACAATGAACTTCAAAATGATTTGATTGAAGAGTGGTGGGCATGGCATGGACGACAAAGAGCATGATGATATCTGCATTCGACATTGTATTGTATTGTTCATGAACTATTTGTTGTGTTTATTGCATTTGTTGTACTGAACGATAAATTATTTGTTTGAGTTGTAATGATAACGAAATTGAACTATTTATTGTTGATTTATTTTGTTTGTTTGATCATTTTTGCTCATGTATATGTGGTTTGTGCGGCGCGCGCGCTATATTTTTGTGCTCTGCTGGAGCAGCGCGCGCGCTGCATTATAGCGCGGCTGCTGGAGCCAGCGCAGGCGGGCGCGCTAAACCAGTCGAAGCGCGCGCGGCAAACAGGTTTTTTGAAGGGAGTACTCCTTAAGTTTTAGCCTTTTTTTTCCTTTCTACTCCCTCCGTAAAGAAATATAAGAGCGTTTAGATCGCTATTTTAGTGGTCTAAACGCTTTTATATTTGTTTACCAAGGGAGTACAAAATTATCATGGCGAAGGATTTTGGTACTGAATTGATATATATTTTACCGAGGGTGGTCTGAATTTATGGATACCACGGTAAGCAGATAATTTCCGCGTCCAATTTTTTAAAACAAAACTTGAATTTAAAACCGTTGGATTCAGGCATCGTCACGCCTTCCATGCACAGACGCACACAGAAATATACATAACTTTTGGGGTGTTTCGAGAGTGGCTGGGTGAGATTCCATTTAGTTTCACAAGCGTAGGCAGGTTTGCTCCGATCCTCCGACTTTGTTTGTTTCCTTCTCTACTCTGCTTCTCTCCATCCCATCTGCTTCTCTCCCATCTTCCCAGCAATCACAAACTCGATGACCAAGATTCTCAGGTCAACCGACTTACCAACCATGCATGCAATTTGAGTTTCCAATCCACAGCTTAACAAATTTCCTTTGCCGGTCGAAGTGGGCTGGTCCGGAGGAGGAGGAGGAGTCGGCGCCGATGGTGGCTGCAGGGGAGTACCGGGACCTCGAGGGCGGCGGCAACAAGGACGACCGTGGCGACGTCAGGCTGTTCCTCGCCGGCCTCGCGGCATACTTCGTGTCCTTCATCGGCATCTACTACATACTGCTCGGCAAATTCTACCTCCCGCCCGTGATCTTCGGGGCCACTGCGGGCGGCGTGATCTCCGCCTGCTGCTGCTGCCGTCGCGCCTCGCCGCCGGCTGATGATGAGCCGTCGCTAGTTAGTTGATCAGAGTCAGCATTCGTGTTCCTCAAGCCTGACGAATATGGATCATGGAGCTGCTGCAAAATCTCATTTATTCATCTATTTTAATTCCTATGTCATCTAGTAAACGAGTAATTCGCGATATTGGATCAATGCATTTGCCGCCAGATGAAATAGTGTGTCGAGTTATGTATGATTCGTGCTGGAAAAACATTGCCAGGTTTCGACTCATCGGCACATATTCAGTAGCAGCACAAGTCTCATAAAGCACTTGTTGCGAATCCACACATTATCCGGTTACGCAGCGACAATGATGGGACGAAAAACCTCTGATCGCGATGATGCAACGCCGTCAACTCGTCGTCGCCGCCACCGCTACCTTTGAGAGGAAGTTCAGCGACGTTCATCTACTTTGCTGCAACTAACAGTGATGATTCAGACTGTAAGCGGAGCCCGGTCGGTCCTTGCAGTGGCAGGAGCTAAGCTAGGATGAAGCAGCTGGTGGCGGCAACTGGCCATCCTCGGAGTCGTCTCGGTCCTTGCTCTCCTTCCACTTGGCCCAGCCCCATCGCGCCACGAGGAACGCTCCCAGCGCGTACACCTGCAAGAGTAACGAGGCAAAATGAATGACGGCTTGGTCTGAAACCCGAAAAACAGAGGGTATGCTCTATGCTGTGCTGGTTTCTCTGAAGACTAATAATTGGAAGAAATACTACATGGTATCTAGCAAATCTATACCAATATAAAAAGACCCAAAGAAGCAGATCCAACTGATCTCGACCATCAAACCAGGTCAATCCAACGACCTACACTCCTCCAATGGCGAGCGTTCAACATGTTTAACGTGCAATTAATATCATACCAAATATTGCACTAATCACAGAATTATCACACAAATAATAGTATACCTAATATCCACGTGCAATTAATATATTGCCTAAATATTAACGTGCAATGCACGTGCGCATTCACTAGTGACCACAAGACGGCCATATACTGCAGCGATATATTCGCCGGTACATCACAGGAAACTAGAGGCATAGGGGTTATCTGAAGGAATGTCCTGATTTATCTGAAGTTACGACAGTAAGCACCAACTGGTAAAAAAACAGGAATGTGCTCTGCATCAACTAGATGAACCAAATCAGAGCTTCTTATACTGAAGTTAAAATCATCACTGTCTCTCTAAGCTGACGAAGACATAAGAAATGATGCCTCACAGAGCCTGCAGAGATACGTAATCGCTTCAAACCCCAGTGGCCTCAAAGCGGGTCGGTTGTACTAAATCCAGCGTCAAGTAAACATATAATTGCTACATCCATATTATACTTGCCGTGCTTGATTTGGAAGCAGAGATGGTTAGAAAAGCGACACACTGGAAAGTAGGTTACATGTCTAGCCCATATCGAACGCCTAAACAGAAGCCTACAGTGTAGTTTTGAACAACAAAACTACAGAGGATACGCTGTGCTGATTAGTTATCGTGTAGCGCCATTTTCATCTAAGAAGCGGAAAACAGAGGATGTGCTGTGCTGATTTCTCTGAAGACTAACAGGCAGAAATACGCAGTACTATCTAACAGGGATGAATGACTGACCACATGGTCGCATACACATATATGTGCTTGAGGCATATATGTGGGTTTTCTGAAGGAATGTCCTGATTTATTCTGAACTTAAGACAGTAAACACCAGCTGACAGCAAACGGTAAGATGCTCTGCATCAACTAGATGAACCAAACTAAGGCTTCTTCCTGAACTTATAACCATCATCACTGTCTCTGTAAGTGGACAAAGACATAACAAATGATGTCTCACAGAACCTTCACAGATACGTAATCGCTTCAAACCCCAGTGACCTCAAAGTGCTTAGTGGTCACTAAATTGAGCGTCAAGCAAACATAGAATTGCTGCATCCACATTATACTTGCCATGCTCTGGATGGGTGTGCTGATTTCTCTAAATTTACGACAGTAAACACCAACTGACAGAAAACAGTAATATGATCTGAACCAAATCAAAGCTTCTGACTAAACTTAAAATCATCACTGTCTCTGTAAGCGGATGAATACATAACAAATGATGTCTCACAGGACCTTCAGAGATACTTGATTGCTTCAAACCCCAGTTGACCCCGGGCTCAAAGTGGTTAGTGGTTAATAAATTCAGCAACAAGTACATGCAAAATTGCACTACGTCCACATATACTTGCCATGATCGATTTTGGAAGCAGTGATGGTAGAACATCCAGTTTTCAACTTAAAAAGCAGCACGCGAAAGTAGTTTAGGTGTGTACCACATATCGAACACCTAAACAGAAGCCTACAGTAAAGTTCTGAACAACCGTAAGATCGTGATGCAAGTAGCGCAGGTTCCTCCTGATTATGCAATCTACACTAGAGCGCTCACAAGGTTTCGGGAAATAAGATCTCACTGATAGTGAAAACTGAGGCTTGATAGCTGATCTAGCGCATACCTATAGTGCAGTAATTTAGTCACCAGGAAATCACACGAAAATGAAGGTAGGGGTTCTCTTACCGAATCTGTTGGTTTCTTAACACTAGAGACCCAACTGGCAGTGCATTCAACTAGATGAAGCAAGTCAAAGCTTCTTATTGGAGTTCAAATCATCATCGTCGCTGTATTATGCAGTAGCAGAAATTTTCCCCCCGGTGACCTTAAAGGCGGTCCATGGCTGGGTACTGAATCCAGCACCAGCTATACATAAAACTGCACCGCATCCACATTATACTTTCCATGCTCAACTCTGGAAGCAGGGATGGTAAATCCTCCTGTTCTGAAGTTCAAAAGCAACAATCTAGCCCGTAATTAAGGTATGTGCTCAGATGGTTAGATTTTCAGTTCTAAACAACTGACAATCGGCATGTCCCCCCGACGATCCCGCACTCTATTATAGAGCACCCACAAGCTCTCTGGCAATAAGATGTCAGTTGGCAGTGGACACTGATACTGCATACCGAACGCCAATCCAGGTAAGAATCTCCGCACTATCCAGTTCAGTTGAGTCAACCATGGAGGATTTTGGGGGATTTCTGGCTCGGCCGTGGGGTAATAATCGGGAATCGGGTGACGGCGGGCGAGGGCGGTGGCGTTCATACCTGCCAGAGGTTGCGGGGGGCGGCCATGTCCTCATCGACGCCCTCGCCGGCGGTCGTGGGCGGCGGCGGCGGCAGGTCCTCCCCCTCGAGCTTAATCGGCGGCGGCTGCCTGGCCGTGTGCTGCGCGGCGGCGGGGAAGAACCGCACGGTGGACGGCGGGGCCCCGACCACGCCGTCGGCCTCCTCCGGCTTCTTGGCCTGCTCCGGCGCGCCCGCGCTCCCGGCGTTGCCCATCTCCTGCCGGCGTTCTCCAAAGCCACAGACTTTCTTCCCCTCCCTCTCGCGGCGATAAGATTGGTGACGCGTGCGCGGTGCGGCCCGGCTCAGCCTTGGGCCGGTTTAATCAAGGACCAGTTTAGAATAATAATATTTACAATAATATTCATAATGCTAATTATGTCCAAAAAAAAGTGCAACTTACATTTCATTTCAAAATAAATCTACTCATAGGGATGTTCTGCAAAAGGATGAATCTGTTCATAGGTGTACAAGCTGCGAGGATTCGACCCTTTCGTGATATTGCCGAGGGCTACGGATAAAAAGAAAAAACAGTGGGCTGCGGATTTTTCTTAAAAGTGCCATGAGTGTATATTTCAACTACAGTCTTGCTTTACAATACAAATTTGGATGGGTTTTCTTTTTATTTTGGAAAAACACTTTGCACCAGTGGTTCTTCCATGGTGAAAATCTAGAGAAGATTACGTTTTTGCATTGAATTTTGTTTTTATGAGAAAGAACTCTTGGAAATGTTCTAGACATTTTTGAGCCATATGATCAGTAATAGTTAATTTTTGGTATGAAATCACATTTACAGGAAAGCCAGAATTGGCCCACCGCATCATGGATTCGTGAATAAAATACAACTGCTGTGGCACAGTGAAGTTCAACAAAAAAGGATTGCTAGGCATAGAGAAATATTCTTCCATATAAACATTTAGTGATTTTTGTTGGAATCAACATATTATTTAGAGTGTACATATATTGTCTAAAGGAGAGTATACTGTGTGTCTCGTGAAAGAGTAATAAAGAGCACCCCCCTTGATTTCTTCAGGTCTCGTGTACCTCAAACTTTTTTTAAATGGATCCTAATGTTTACATCTTGTCTTTCGCATGAGACAATTTTTGGCATGGACAGTAGTTCTCATGTTGTGCTTGCATATTGAACATTTCAAAATAATATACTCATTATAGTTTCGATAGTGAAACATGTCACTAATGGATTATCATGATTATCTTCGGCGCGCAGCGCACAGACACTTCTAGTAGTGCATCAACATATGTATGGCCATGATGGCTTTCACAGAGCACATAGGTCCCTTTCTTCCTTTTTGCTTTTGTCTTTTCTTTTTCTTTTTCTCCATCGATTGATTTGAAACCACAAAGTAGATCTTGCCCACATTGTTTCCTTTGGAAGACTAACCAAATTGGGCTCTTTTGGAAGACTAACCAAATTAGCATGCTTCAGTTTTAGTCAGACGATACAACTTTATTGATCAATTAAACATAGTAATAGCACAAACCGGAAGAAACACGAACAACCCTCAAAACTAAATGGGAAACGCTTGGGAACAGTAGGCTAATAATTGGGCACACGTCGGCCAGGATCCAACTTTGATGAAACGGCATCCCTCCTATCTTGGTCCATGTTGCAAATACGAGACCCCAACATGTGAGGCGTTGTGATCCTTCCATGCTCAAGAGTCAACACATGCCTACTGAATGCCCACCCTTTTTCCCTTCTTTTCTCCCATGAGATACACCCTCTATGGCACGCGGTTGCGTCGTCCCCTGACTTTCCCCTGGGATCGCAACATGGATACTGTTGCAGTCTCAACATGAGACCACAAAGGGGTCGTTTTGGGGTGCTCAGCCCGTGATTGCAACATGGCCACTGTTGCAGTTGCAACACTGCCCTTGTTTCAGTGGGAAAAAAAAACAGGTCAGGGAAGATTGCAAAAGGACTCCTCTGTTGCAGAGGGCCGAGCGCAACAAGACCCCTGTTGGGCAGTAGATCTTGGCCGACGCATCACGCTGCCCAAACTAAATTGAAAGCTACAGCAAAGTTCTTTGTAGTCTCTAGCTTCACTATTTTGCATCACCACAAGTCGGATGGTTTGCACAAACTGATGAGCAAAACAAGCCATATTACATCTCTTTCTAGTTTCCACATTTTTTGTTACTATACTAGTCGGTGATGCGGTCATTGTACTGGCAGCCTGAAGAACCAGGTTCACAACAATAAGGCAACACTGCCGGTTTGCACACCATGTCGCCTGACACATCATTCCTAACATTATTGTTCATATTACCACACTCTGACTGAATGAAGCTCACTAACCAAATGTGTTAAAGATTGAAGGCTCGACATTAACTCTGCTGAAAACTATTAAGACTTCCAGATCATCATCAACTATGCCGAACAAGAATATCTCTCTCTCTCTCTCTCTCTCTCTCTCTCACTAACAGCAAAAGAATAATAGCACGGGAGGTGCAACCAACCAAACGTAACAAACACTGCCACCACAGGTATATGTAATAGATACTCAGATACTCAGTTCCCTTTGCCCGATATAGGGTTACACAATGACGAATCTAGGTAGGTAAGAAGATAGGTGGGTGGGATCTAGAGGCGCGACAAAAACGACGACAACGGTTTCACTACGATATAAGTATCTGGCTTCCAAAAGATCAAGAGCAGCATAGCTGCGCCGTCATCGTCTAGCTTGAAGGCGTCGCCGTGGCCAGACACATCTGCGTCTTGACGGCTTCCTTGTAGGTCTTGTGCTGGTAGGTCAGCGTCGTCTCCAGCAGGTCCTTGAGAGGGGTCTTGGGGTTCCACCCTGCAGTTTGTTTAACCAGCGTTTGGAGATCAGACATTAGGTACACTAGTATAAATCAGGAGGATAATGAAAGGCGGAACAAACACGCTGTTGCGTGGTTTCAGTGATATACACACCTAGCTGCTTGTTGATCAGGGTCATGTCGGGGATCCTCTTGTCGCTGTCGTCGTACCCTTCGCCGTAGAATTCTTTTGCGCTCACGTCGATCACAGGCTCCTCCAGCGGGGGCTCTCCTGAGACCTTAGCATAGACCTGCAGATGAATGCAAATGGGAGGTTCAGATTAGACACACTAACATAACTTACAGTTGCTATTAATCTGTCAATGGCATTACCTCTGTCATCATTTCAGCCAACTCCCTAACAGTGACTTCATTGTCAGGGTTCCCCACGTTGAAGATATGACCATTGGCTCGAGCAGGGTTTTCCTTTTGCAAAAGAAAACAGAGATTTAAGTTTCACTGATGCGGTACATACTGGTAACATCAGGAAAATATATGGAAGATAAACACAGAAGACATACAATCATCAAAAGAACAGCTTCAATGGCATCCTTGATGTAAACAAAAGTTCTCTGGGACTCGCCGCCATCGACAAGCTTCAGGGGCTCTCTGCGGAGGAGATTCTGCACATCCATTGGCAAGGTATATCTTGTAAGAAAGAAGACTGAAGACAGTGCAATGAAGCTATTCATCCTCAGCAAGGGATAAGTTTACATACGTTGCTGAAGCAAGCCAAAACCCGAGGAACACCCTCGCTAGGACCATCAACGCCAGGAATGAAGTCCATCCTTGGCCCAATCCAATTGAAAGGTCTCACAATCGTGAATTCAAGGCCATTTTCTGCGCCTTCAGCTGGGGGAAACTCAAATGTACATGGTCAGAAAAAGTTTAAGGGTGCTACTAATGGCACAATCAACAAGTTATAAGTTCTTCCACTCACCAAAAACAAGCCTCTCGATAAGCTGCTTTGCGCACGCGTAGGACCATCTCTGTTTCACGATTGGACCAAAGATGCAGGGTGACTCATCTTCTGTCAGTACATAAAATTCAGGTTCCTGTTTGAAAGGTGAAAAGCACACGGAGCATCAGCTGAACAGCCAGGTGTGATCATATGAATATGTGACTGTGACATGGGAAATACACATCACTGACGACCAAACAAATTATTGTTACTGCTAGGCTGAGGTAGTATTGCTACGAAGATAAGAATCTATAGACAAGAAAATCAAAAATCATTGTAACTCTTAAGGGTCTCCTTTAAATGATGAAACTCCAACTGAACAATTGACCATATGAATAAGTGACATGGGAAGAACATATTACTGACGACTGAACAAATTATTGTTACTGCTAGGCTGAGTATAGTATTGCTACGAAGATAAGAATCTAAAGACAAGAATAGCAAAAATCATTGTAATTCAGGGTCTGGTTAGTTGAGTCTTTAAATGATGAAGCTCCAACTAACAATTGAATAAGAAAAGGGGAGTTCCTTATGGCAGCACGTTTTCCAAATTACTACATCCACTTGCAGAGCAATATGCAGTGACAGGCATAAGCATGACATGGCTTGAGCTGAAAAAATTATTTCAAGCTAAAAGAGAGCAGACAATGTGAAATGACAGTATCCTTGCTTACAACTAGTCCCTGGGAGTTACTATAGGATGGTACCGGACAATCAACGCAGACATATTAACAAACAAGCAACATAAGAAAAACCAACACTAAAATGAACAGGACATAGCTTGAACAATTAATTATTGTCAACCTATTAAAGTAATAGACTATATGAAATGACAGCATCATTGCCCTGTAAGTTACCAGAAAATGGTGCTAGACAGATTAACCAATGTGCAACTTAAGACAAACCATCACTAAAATGTAAAATCAATGTATGCAGTCACACTCTGTTCTTCCAGTCAAGGCATGCCATAACCTTCACACCAAACAACCATTACAAGACATTATCCGAGTGTCAACCAACAACCAACAAGGATTCAATTAGAATAATTCCACTCCTAACCAACACCAAATCCAGGCCAGCCGTTTATTTAAGGACTGTACTAAAAGAACAGGACAATTACAGGTGAATGTCAAATACAGGACAATTTAAGGACTGTACCATACAAAGGTACTCCCTCCGTTTCTTCAAAGTTTGACAAAGTTTATAGTACAAAATAGTATTGACATTCACCATACGAAATAAGTATCATTAGATCCATCATGAAATATATTTTCATATTATATTTTTAAGTAGTGTTGTACATGTTGACATTTTTTAATATAAATTTGGTCAAAGTTTACTTAGTTTGACCGCGAACAAATCTAATCTAATACGCGGAGTAAAAAGAAAAGGAGGGAGTACTAGATATATCAACCAATGAGCAACTCCTCTT